GAATATAACAAATCCTACAAGTCGATTGGTCAAATGTGACGTATTAAGCTGTTTATATATTCACCTACAGGTGAATATAACAAAACCGAAATTTACAAAATGGCGGCTAGCCGTTTTGTGGAAGTTACTGATAAAGAAATTAAACGAAATTAAAATAAATTCAGTCCTAAAAAACACCAAAGGCTTGTGTAAAAATACTAAAACAATTGTTCGCCTCAGGCTCAGTGATTATCGGGGAATATTCACCTCTTATAAACACACGCCTATATTATATATCACCAACTTTTGGCATTCGTCTAAAGACAAGCACAAATTGAAAATTGGCACTGTCCGTGGCAACAAAGCTACTTAGCTACAGCCCTACAACTCTATAGCTCTACAACTCTACAGCCCTGCGCCTTTACAACTCTACACCTCTACAATGCTACAGCTCTACAGCCCTACAACTCTGCAGTCTTAGAACTCTAGAGCTCTACAACTCTACAGCCCTACAACTCTACAGCCCTACAACTCTACAGCCCTGCGTCTTTACAACTCTACACCTCTACAACGCTACAGCTCTACAGCCCTACAACTCTACAGCCTCTTATAAACACACGCCTATATTATATATCACCAACTTTTGGCATTCGTCTAAAGACAAGCACAAATTGAAAATTGGCACTGTCCGTGGCAACAAAGCTACTTAGCTACAGCCCTACAACTCTATAGCTCTACAACTCTACAGCCCTGCGCCTTTACAACTCTACACCTCTACAACGCTACAGCTCTACAACTCTTCAGTCTTAGAACTCTAGAACTCTACAGCCCTACAACTCTACAAATCTACAGCTAGATCTAGAGCTCTACAGCTCTAAAACTCTACCGCCCTACAACTCTACAGCCCTATTTTATGGATTTCCTTTGCAAGCTTTAGCTGAACAACATGGGAACCTTTCACTTTTTTCTTTTTGGATGAATGAGTTGGATACTGACTCGAACAAAGAGGACGCCATTCCTTCCCCAATGCGTGATGAGGCAAACCCCCATCTTCTCCTGCTGACTCCAGACTAAGGGACGGACCATTAAATATTTGAGGGGGGGCGGGCAACTTTTCTGTGCACGAATTTTTTTTCACCCCCCAACTGCTTGCAAGAATATTTTTTTCTGCTCCATTCTTTTGCACGATATTTTTTTTAGAGGTGACCTAAAAATTTTTGTCCCGGAAAGTTCGTCGACGGGGGGAAGCATAAATTTTTTCGTAAAACACCAATTTAATGTTTCTGAAGCAATTGCATTACGATTTTAAAAATTTCCCTTAGTTTTTGCTCAATTTTCTTTTCAATAGGTTTGTTGTGCACAATATTTTTTTCTGAATTTTTTCTGTGACCGAATTTTTTTGGTATTTGCCCCCCCCCTTAAATATCTAATGGTCCGTCCCTAAGATTAATTCATACTCTTCGATATTTTCCCAAGACAAGAGTGGCAGCTTGAAAGATGCCCGCGAATATCGTCTTTACATTTTGTCAACATGACATTCTCCACACTCACAAATGACTGCCGCATTCAGATTTTATACGAGTGGAAAATGAACACATGGAAGACATCTTAAAACCGAATCCACATGAAAGCCAAATATTAATGTTCAAGTCACTAAAACTTTCAAGCGAATGCCAAAAGTTGGTGGAATATATAATATAGGCATGCGATTATAATTATTATTAACTCATTAAGCGGCAATGCGCCCGAATGCGCCCTGAGATTGGCAAGGGGGTAAGCGGGAATGCGCCCTAACATGACTCCTTAACTTGCGGGCATGATATTTGAGCACATGTTTATCGGGTTGCCTAGCAACGGATACGAAAATAGAACGTGAAATTCGAGCTTTTCAACAGTGTATCATGCAAGAAAATCGGCCAAAAACTCGCAAAGTTTTTCAAGTTTAAAACCTTAGTTTTTCAAAAATAATGAACAATGGCGAAACTGTTGCAAAGAATGGTTTTATACAGCAAGTTTTAAAAGCGAAGAAAGAAGAGGTTTTTGAATCATTTACAACGAAAATTTGGCATGAAAGGAAAGCGAATGTATTGACGTTTTGGGGCCAAGTTCTTCTGTGAACCATCCGCGAGATTTTCAGCCAAAAAGATGAGGATTTCTCCAAACTTTATTAAAAAATAGAAGTCGGAAATCACAAGAAAGATGAACACGGAACACAAGTGAGCAGATACAATTTTTTAAAGGGTATTTTTGAGTAGAAATATGCGATCAAACACTCACAAAATTCGACTGCATTAATGTTGGTTGAATCTAGTTTAAAGTTATCTTTTTAGACGAACTGTTTATGCAAATTTGGGCACAATTTCGACTGTTTTCGTAACCCCATTGTTGGTCTTCTTGTTCAAGTTGTTATTTTAGCTAAAGTATGTTTCAAACGACACACCAGATTAAATTACTGTGTGTACGTACATGCCCTTTTTGGCAAGAATACTTTGAGTATTAAATTACACTAAGTAAGTAGGATACTCCAAAATCACTGTTATATCTATTTTCATCAATTTAGTCTTAAAACGACAACTCGTTTCAGACATATTGTGGTTTAAAATAAGTGTATTGAATTAGTGCGCTTGCTGGCCACGTGCAAATTTTCAAAAAGTCTGCACTTGAGTTCTAAAGCTTTTAAAACGCTTTTTCTATTGGGTTTTATATCCCCATAAAACTTTAAATCGATAAAGCAGATAATAATGTTGATGCAACCTCATTTTCTAGTAACTACACGTTGAATCAGAAGGAAAAGTTATCAAAAATAGGTCGCGACCGTTGCTTGCAAAATGCCGCTTCTGAAATGGCTTCCTTTGCGGGAAGCCATGAAATTGAAGTCCTAACAAAAACATAGTTTAGCAGTTCTTTTGGGCCCATAGCTCACTTATTTATCATGAAATCGCTTCACTAGAACATTTTTACTAATGTCTATGGGAAACTTTGTTATTTTCTGAACTAAACGTTTATGGTTTTGAGGTGTTTATTTTAGAAAATAGCACGCGCAACAAAATGGCACTAATGTGGTTTCTCATGTCTGACAAACAACCAAAGATGAAAGTCCTTATTTCACCCTTTTATAGCTATGTTGAATACCTGACTATTAGGTTATCTTTTTCATTTGAGCATACAGATAACATTTCTACATAATTAGTCCTTATGAAAGCTTATTTCAAACTAAAAAAAAGCGATTGTTTTTCAGAGCCAGACTTCAAAAGAGAACGCGTGTCTGACATTTTATAGCAGCCTACATTGGCGCGCAAAATAATTTTGGCTAAAAACCGTTTCTTTCCAAACAGAAACATGAGAAAATTGAGCTAAAAGGCTTACCTGATGTATGTTTAAAATGTTTTTCTCTTTATGGTGTTTTTCAGTGCTTTGAGTAGAGAAGTGAATAACTTTTGGTTTTGTCACCGCAATTTGCCTTTGAAAATGTCGGCTGTCATTGTCTGTGTTAAAAACACCTCAGAAAATTCGTATTTTCTCACCTTCCCATCCTTGGTTTATATTGAAAATAAATAAATTCTAGTACCATATGTCCTTTTAAATATATTTGAGGTAATTAAAAACTCCAAAGATGAACAAGCACTGTGTTTTGGCTTGCACATTTTGTTGAATTTGAACACTTAGTTACTGTTCTAAATTTCGTGTTGTAAATATCTTGCCCAAAAAAAGCAAATGAGTATTTTTTATAATTTTTGATCGTTTTCTAATTCATATCCCAAAAGATGAAAATTGGTTATAATATAGATATGTACTAATTTAGTAAATGATTTTTTTTTTGGTTTTTATATAAATTTATGGAGATATTGCCCCTTTAGGTGATGAGTGACATGAAAAACAAAGTGTCACTGCTTTACAAATAAAAATTCTCATTGAAAAAACTAATGATATATGTAGGTATGCAAAGTCATTTAAACTAAATTTGGTCAATCATATATCACTAATGTTTGGTTGAAAAGATCAGATTTTTTTATGCAACTGTTTCTGAGATATTGCCATTTTGGTGAAAGCTCTTGAATTCAATCACATATTCGCCATATTGCTTGCTCCTTAGGCGGGTAGAAACATTGTAACAGCTTGCCGCTTAATGAGTTAAACAATACTTTTGTGTGTTTATGTAATTAAATGTATGTGTGAGTCCTCATGTTAAGCCGTTTGTGCTTTTAGGGCAAACACTGTAATGACATATGTTTATATAAAAAAGAAAATTTCACGAAAGAACGTCTCAATGTTAATATTGGCGTAAGAAAAGTTAGGTGTCCACATAATTTTTGCCAGGATTGTAGTTATAATTAGTCGTATTTATAAAGCAAATGAAAATAATCTTTTTGAAAATTATAGACCTATACAGGTTTTAACTTGCTTTGCTAAATTACGTGAAAAACTTATGTACAAACGACTATATAACTATGTTGAGAAACATCAAATACTTCAGAACATCAATTTGGTTTTAGGGGGAACAAATCGACCGAGTATGGCATTCTTGAGCTGACCGATAAGATTTCTAAGGCAATGGACGAAGGTCTATATACAATAGGTATTTTCCTTGATATTTCTAAAGTCTTTGACACAGTGAATCGGAAAACTCTAATAAAAAAAACTTGAACACTATAGACTTGGAGGAATATGTTTACAGTGGTTTATAAGCTGGCAAACAAAAGTTTTGGCAGCTTTTATTTAGATATACAAAACCATATTGTTGAATACCCACAAGTACAACGTTGCATGAAGTGATGTTTTGATTATCTATTTTTGGCTTAATGGCATGAATTTTTTCAGAAGAAAAACGTTTTGTAATTTGACGCAAATTTAGTCACTCTTAATATAGTTAAAATGTGCAACAAAGCCAACATATTTAAGAACCAGTTGGGTTATTTTCGAAATCTGTGAAATATTAACAAGCTGTGAGCTCACCGTGAAGCTTTAGTAAAATCTGTGATGCTCATGGTGGATCTGTGAGAGTTGGCAACTATGCCCTGTAGACATGTATCGTAATTTGTATATTCTTTACCGTTTATTGAGTTAACACCTGTTCCAATGTACATGTTTATGTTGAAATCAGTTTAATAAATGGTTTTGTGTTGGAGTTTAGTACAGTTCTACTGCTCTCTATTTTTATCTGTAGGTTTTATGGTACAACATGGTCATACGGGGTAGGTATTTTTTTTGGAACAAAAATCCCCCCCCCCCTTCCACTAGTCCCCTCCCCTGTAATTAATGACCGGTCCCTATGAAAATGGTGAAAAAAGTTATTTACAGGAAAGAAGCCAAATTGTCAAATAGGTCAAATGAAATCAACGTTACGAGTGGAGTCCCACAAGGTTTAATACTTAGAACACTCTTATCTCTAATATACATAAATGATATTGAAAATTGTAGTAACATTCTTTCTTTTGTTTTATATGCCGATGATACAAATACTGTTTATTCAAATTCATGCTTAAACACATGGCATCTTTAAAAGGGAGAACAGGGAATCGGGGAATATCATATTCCCCCTTTTAAAGATCTTTAAAAGGGGAAATATCCCATATTCACCCTTTTAAAGATCTTAAAAGGGGGAATATAATATTTAAAGATCTTTAAAAGGGGGAATATCGCGAATCTGAGACTGATTTAATCCCCTTGACTTGTAAAGAGTAGTACAGAATCTTTAAGCAGTCTTAAGGGTTTTTTAAAATTCACACATAAATTCTTTCAGACTTCAGGCTATATACACAGACAAGTTACACTGCGCGTATTGCAATTGATGTTTTGCTGATTTGTAGTACGGAAACTACTATACTTTCGGTGTCTTTTGTCTGAATACAGACACTGTAATGTGCCACTACAACTTGTTAATATAGTTATTACATTAATCCTTGCCGCAAACACCTTTGGATAACAGTCCAAAACGTTAGTAACAACTGATTACTAAACATTTTATCTAAAACAAGTGATGGATTCTGGTAAACCTTTGTACTCTGGTCTACCTTTTAGCACTATTCAAATGACAGACTTTAGCAATTAATTAACTAAGGCCTTCAATCCGTTCGATTAGTACTCTTCACTCGAGATTTGGTTTTCTGTAGTTTCGAAATATGTCGCCCATATAAAATTTGTTTATTCCCCAAAGAACCAGAATACATTACTTATTTATAGTTTTAGACAAAATGTTTATATATTAATTAATCAGTGCAATGTGTCAAAGTTTGAACTGTTTTCTAAAAGCGTTTGCAGTAATCTAGAATTGATTAAACAGGCTGCCCACGAAAATGAGGCTGCGAGCAGACTACATGTGTTACTAAATTCAGAGTTGCAAAACCTGTTCAAATTTCCTCCGGGTAAAATTTAAAGTTTTCAAACCTTCCTCAAAATAAATTGAATAAATACTAAAATATGGCTTCATCAAATAGCAATATATTAGAGTATATAAACTTAATTGATTCTGAAAGCATAAGGTTTGAAAGAGATGTGTCGTTAAATGCAGTACATGATTCTAATATATAATTTGCAGTAATACATTTATACTTTGGACAAATTGGATAGTCCTTACCTACTATATCTACATCCTATACATATGATGCATGATTTGGTCACAACCTTCCTGTCGATATCAACTGAAGTTGTTGATTTTATGCCTGTACACATCGTAGTTACTAAAACATGGAATGACCCACAATGAGCCACAACGACCCCACAACGACCCTAAAATGACCCACGACGACCCAAAACCAGCCACAACAACTCACAACGATCCACAAGTTCACAACAATCCAACAACAACAACATTCTGTGCCACAAACATTGGCCACCATCAGTACTTTGACAGCTATTCCTGTTATAGAGAAAATCAGGGCGTAGGGAAGCGTAGCTAGAGAAATCCATAGGGAAAATCTCTGCATGCGCAAGTGGAAGTCTTGCATTTTCACGCCAATTTTGATCACATGTGTTGATTATTAAACATGTTGGAAGAAAAAGGTGTGTATGGTGTGTACAACTCCAAATAGTTATCAATATTTTTCGGCCAAATATTTTAGTCGTTAAAAACAGATCTTTAATTTCTTTTGCACTATGTGATAAATTCTGTAGTCATTACAAACATTGTCTGTCTTTGTGTTGTTCTGCCGTCTGTGCAAGCTTCATTTAATATTTGCATTTATTTTTGCTGGCTGAAACTGAAAAGTGTTCATATTGTTTTCATATTATACTGAAAGTAAATATATTTATTAGTACAGTGGTGTATGTCCCGAATGTTATGAACAAAGGTATTCCTCTATTTGTGTGTGTCGATGCTCTCACATTTAACCCTTGCTAGCTCATTTATTCTCTGTGTTTTAAATCCCACTGGTTCGCGTGAAGATCAAGATTAGGATCGAGATTAGGATCGAAAGCTTTGCAATAATAAAATATGTGGTGTATCCACAAACAATAACTTATATTATTTATTGTCATGCAAAATTGCAACTGAAGGTAATTTTGGGGTCGTTGTGGGGTCGTGGCAGATAGTTCGGGCTCGTTCCATGTTTTAGTAACTATGCTGTACACATATATAGAGGTCAGCAGTAAAACTATGGCAACAACATTCCAGAGGTGGTCTGGTGGTATTTGATCTTGATGTTTTGGTACTTGTGGTTTTGAAAGGCATTTCAGAGTGTTTAGGTCTTTTAATAGATGTATGACCCAATCACCCAATTACACAGTCAGCGAGGCATTGAATGCTCTCACTTCTTTCCGAAGCAAAGTGCTATGTTTAAACCATGCAGTATAGTGCCCTGCATGGCGGTTTATAATCAATGGCAATGTTTGGAATGGTTGAAAATCAATGGCAATGGCAATATATTAATCTCTATAACAGACGCTGCCAATTATGCAATATACTTATGGTTATCTTATAGATTGTGGGAATTGACGGTGTAGGTATCAGGTATGTAAACAATGATTTCGATTATAGGACCTCGATACATTTTGTCGATCTGTATTAAATATGTATGACAGCTACACACCTCAGTAACCAAGCTGTATTATTTTCGTCAGACTCGCATCACACATGCTAAAATTTCTTCCTCAGCTTTATTTATAATTTTTGTGGCAGTTTACAACAATTCACCTTGGCCATATTTATGTAATTATTACAATGTTTAGCTGCTACAGCAATGATGGTTCATTTAATTTATAGCTATTAATTATTCTCTAAAAACATTGGAAAAAGGTAATCAAATAATCTTTGAATAATATAATGTTCAAGGTGAATTTCTTATTGTAACCATGATGAGTAGCTCTTAGTAATATGTTATAGGTACTATACCACAATAATACCACCACAATAGTACCAGTGTCAGCCTCAACTGCCTATTCAACTATGATTTACTTGTTTGTGTGATGTTACTCTGAGTGTATATCCATACCGGGCAGGCTTGAAAAATATGCCTGGCCACGGCGGGATTCGAACCTACGACCTTTGGAATACTAGCCCAATGCTCTTCCAACTGAGCTACGCGGTCAGGACGGTTCGAGTATGCGATATTTCAGAACTGAATCTAGTTCCTTCGATATCAGTGTAATCTAATAATCATGAAATCTGCTGTGCTGGTGTAATGTACTCAGGTGAATAAGATGTTTGTGCGATGTTACTCTGAGTGTATATCCATACCGGGCAGGCTTGAAAAATATGCCTGGCCACGGCGGGATTCGAACCTACGACCTTTGGAATACTAGCCCAAAGATTACACTGATATCGAAGGAACTAGACTCAGTTCTGAAATATCGCATACTCGAACCGTCCTGACCGCGTAGTTCAGTTGGAAGAGCATTGGGCTAGTATTCCAAAGGTCGTAGGTTCGAATCCCGCCGTGGCCAGGCATATTTTTCAAGCCTGCCCGGTATGGATATACACTCAGAGTAACATCGCACAAACATCTTATTCACCTGAGTACATTACACCAGCACAGCAGATTTCATGATTATTAGATTACACTGATATCGAAGGAACTAGACTCAGTTCTGAAATATCGCATACTCGAACCGTCCTGACCGCGTAGCTCAGTTGGAAGAGCATTGGGCTAGTATTCCAAAGGTCGTAGGTTTGAATCCCGCCGTGGCCAGGCATATTTTTCAAGCCTGCCCGGTATGGATATACACTCAGAGTAACATCGCACAAACATCTTATTCACCTGAGTACATTACACCAGCACAGCAGATTTTATGATTTACTTGTTTCACTTTTTGGTGTTAGCGACTGTTGACCACTAAACCTTCCTCACTGACCTTGCCTATGGTAAACCTTCCTCACAGGCAATGCCTGCAAGCCTGCAGCTTTTTGCAACTTTGACTAAATTATGAAATATTCATGAAGCGTGTGAACCAAGATAATATCGATGACTCTATACTACTCTTGTGCTAGTTGGCATGTTAAATTATTCCTAAACAGAAGAAATGTCTATACAGCAGGCTATTTAGTAAACTGGGTATAGCGACTATAGTTAAAGTTGAATAAACCAAACCCTTCCCTAACACCTAACCTGCCTTTTGAGATAAAGAAAAGGCCAAAAAAAAGTTGAAAAAATTTTAAGAAAAAAATGCTATGTCAGACAAAACACATCCCGACCCAGACTGAGTTTCACATTCCACATGCAGTGCCTTTACCGCATATGCTAACGGCAAGCTTGGTACAAACTAGCTCAAACAAAATGTTTTATATGTAATTATAGTTACTATATAGCCAGCAGTTCCCTTACGAAAATTTCCTATAGGAATTCCTACAGGAAAAATTCCTATAAGAATTTTTCCTATAGGAATTCCTATAGGAATTCCTATAGGAAAAATTCCTATAGGAAAAATTCCTATAGGAATTTTGTCCCAAATTCTTATAGGAATTTTTCCTATAGGAATTCCTATAGGAAAAATTCCTATAGGAATTTTTTCTACAGGAATTCCTATAAGAATTTAATAGGAAGAATTCCTATAAGAACTCTCAAGTCTAGTCCCAAATTATTATAGGAATTTCCTATAAGAAAATAATTTATTCTAATTTCCTATAAGATTTTTGGTATTCCTGCAGAAATTCTAGAATCTAGATGAAATATTTAAATAATAATAGTAAATGACAGACAATGTTGTTCATCACTCTTAATTTTTTAATGCAAAAAATAGATATAAATATTAATTAATAAATACTAATTAATATTGCAAATATAAAAATTAATATGAGAAATTGGTTATACTAAACATTACAAATCAATTATAGTTTTCACCTATTGTGACAAATTAATCGTTCTACCTCAATGCAATGCCATATGATGCGTCCTACTTTATTATTTTACTCTGTCTAACTATTTTACTTTGTCTAATGCCAGACTATTTTACTCTGTCTAACTCCAGACAATTGTACTTGAATGTCAAGGGGAAATGCTGGCTCCTAATGGGTTAACTAGCCTATATTCCTATATATGTGTCTAGTTAACCCATTGAATCACATTGCGCCCTGATATGCCTACTTTATTATTTTACTATAGTTTACTCTGTCTAACGCCAGACGATTTTACTTGTCAGAGCGCTGGCGCTTAATGGGCTAAAACCATAGGTAATAACCATAATTGACATTTAAAGTTAAGTTTAAAACTGGCCTCAAAGCATAGTCCTCAAATAAGTTCTTGTTCTTGTTTGCTTTTCTGTACTTTGCAACACTTTCCCATGTTGTTTATATTTGTCCTCATATGTTGACGAACCTCTGAGGCCTTACATCCATACTTTGTCGATAGCTGTAAAAAGACAAATACATTTATTTTATGTCTACCATCCCAATGTGTTTTGTTAACCCATTAAATATGCCCAAATGCACCCAATTTATTATTTTACTCTAAGTGGAGAGTCTAGCACTTTAATAGAATAAACACAGTAAAATAACAAAGTACTAAAAGTAGGGCACATTGCTTCTAAATATGCCACACAGCAGCTTTTGCAGTTAATTATTAACCTTTCAATGACCAACATTCATTTTGATGAGTAAAATCATCTGATAAATATCAAAGTACTGAAAGTGGGGATTGAGTGTTAGGGTGAATTGCATCTAAATGTGCTAACGCCAAATAATGCAAAATAGTCTGGTATTAACAGGGCAAATATTGAGCTTTGAAATAGAGCGCATTAGTGTGAATTTGTGAATTGGGTCTTAATGAGTTTACACATAACACAGGGAGACAGCAAGTAACCTATCAAAGTTGTCCACTCTCTTTCAAGTAAAATGATCTGGTGTTAGACAAGGTAAAATAAAAAAGTACTGAAAGTTGAGCACATTCATCTTAACAAGTTAGCATGAAATGTAAGCTAGCAGAGAGTCTGGTTAATTTGAATACCATCACATAGTTATGTTTATAAACTGTGGTTTAATTAATAGAAAAACATGGATAATTTTCCTGGCATTACACTAAAGCATGTCTAAAGGCTAACAGATTTTAATACATTGACTGGTGCAAGACCTCTCAAAATGAAAATTGTTTAATTTAAACAAAACATATGAATAAATACTGCTGCTGATTTGAGCAAGTAGTTAAATTTTCTATAGGCATGCATTAAATATGGCTGACAATTTACAATTAATCTGGCATATACAGTTGGCACTTGGGATATACAAATATATTAATAAACATGGATAAGTCTGATTCAAATATAAGACTTTTATAGTAGCATTTGTTGAAGCTAGTATAAATGCTATAAATATATTTATATCAGCATTCTAATTCCGTTTATATTGTCGCGGCAAATTCAAATTTTATCGAACCCGACGAACCACATGCTCGAATTTCACAAATGAAGATTGGAGGTATTTCCTCTATAATTTGCTTTATTATAAATAAAATATAAACTTATTCTTACCTGAACATTATGCAAACATCCCTGATGTATTACTAGTGAAAATCCAGTTGAATCCCATCAAAAATAGTTCTATTTTGCACATAAACCATTGACAAACACTGACTTGAAAAAATATGGTTAGCACTATTTTCCATCCAGCAAACCGCCCTAACATTTTTGGAGAGTGGCATGGGTCGAGTTTATGTTATGATTATTTTAAACGGAAGTTTAATAGTGAAATTTCGCGGTAAAATTTAACATATATTTACAAGTTTGGCGCGTTTATTATTCGCAGAATATTCCAGCCTGATTCCACAGCGTTTATACAAATTACAGCTATAAATACAAACTTATAATTTAGCTTTATAAATCTATAACTACAAAAAGTTTTAACCAAGCTTTATTGTCATATTTGGTTTACATATTTCAAAATATACATCGCCAAAATGGCGAACTTAATAATGGCGAAGGGCTTTCATGTCCAAATTTCAAACACATTCGGATATGTGCTGCAAGAAGATGCCGTCGCCAGACGTTGTCCGGGACTGGGAAATGCAAACAATGACTTCGTTTTCAAACTGGAAAAAATCCAAAAACTTTGGGCGGATAGGTAAGAAAAATTTCATCTATAAATAAACTTTGCCTTCTACAAAATTATATTGAATTGCACACAACTACAAATAAAACCAAACGGCACAGGAACATCTACAATCACGTTGCTGCATGTGTTTACGAACACATTTACCAACCATATATTAAAGCGATCTTGGTTTATATTTTCAAATATTTTTGTATAAAGCATTTACTTTATCGAAGTGTTTACCAAGGCCGGCGAGAGGGGGGAGGGGGGCAGGGCAAATCACGATAACATGTTCGTATATTGTTTATCATCAGCAATTTCCAGAGGGACAATTTCCCGGGGCCCGTAGTTGGCTCTCGCCGGCCTTGGTGTTTACAACAGCCGGCTATTTAGTAAACTGCCAGCTACATAGTAACTATAGTTAAAAGTGATTTTTTATAAGATAAACCAATCCCAACTCCAAACCTTTCTCTAATCTTAACCCCTAACCTAACCTTTCGAGAGTCAGAAAAGAAAAAAATTATTTATGGTTCTGGGATTTCACACCTCTTCCCTCTCAACATCTATGTGACCTCCTCTGGCAACAGCAAAGACCAAAAACGTTTGTGATACCCCCCCCCCCCCATTTTATATAAGATACAGTACAAGTGTATAAATACGTATGTACAATACGAATTAAACAATTAAAAAGTATTTCTATTTTATGACGTTAGTATAATAGAGCAAACGCTCCTGTAAACTTGTAGCCATTATCTGAACACCAACATGGCGGCCAGGACTTTTGTTGAGGATAATAATTATATCTATTTGCATTAAAATTCGCGCAGTACTAGAATTTTGAGGTCAACTAATCGCTTTTTGATTAAATTTTGACAAATATTGAAGTATTTGTTGATAAAAAAAACTCATTGTAAATGCGTCAACTGTTGATAGTTCTTAAATAACATTCCAACATCAATGCCTACATAAAATTTTTAACTTTTCAGACCCTCTTGCAACCTCACATAAAATCTGGTGGGCAGATAATTCTTTGGAGTTTGACGGTATTCTGTATCAGATTTTGGGGACGAAAGTACTTGACTGCGCTCAGGGCAAAGACAGGAAAGAAAAGATGAAAAGGGAAAGAAAATTAATGAAGCAGGTACTTACTTGATCATATCCAGTGTCATTTCAACACGGAAAACATATCATTTAAGTATTGGTTTTGTACCATTTCATGTGCAAAATTTAGAACTGCGCAAAAGTTTCCGATTGAGGGTACGCGAAATTGAGGGAAGACATTTCAAACATGCAATGAGGGATTAAATACACGTGATGTTTTCAAGGCCATGCAGGTTTCATACAGTTATATTGGTAGGCTATTTAGGCCATTTTACTTTTGGTGTACTGTGTTTTGTGGCTGAAACAGAGCAAAATGCGGGTATAAAGTGTCCTAGGTTTAACTAAAGACAAGCCATTACGGAAGACAGATAAAGTTGGAAATTTCTGATTTACACCATGCGGGATTTAGTAATATTAGCAAAACAATGCAAAAGTGAAGCAAGTATAGTTTAGATACGCGTATCACACTGGCTATTATATTCTATATACTTTAATCCTCTTTTTAAATAGAACAAAGAGCATGGATATGCATTTAAATCCAGGAACTTAGTGCAAGATACAAAAAAACTTGGATGCTCTGCTCAGATTATTGTACGGGAGATAATGAAATATCCAAACTATAAAGTAAGTTCATATAGCTATGACATACGACGGCACTATGTCACTGTTTTCATATGATGAGCTAGCCAATGACTCTTGTTTGAAAGTGTCGTATATATGAGCTTAATCATTTTTCTCATTTTGCACCAGATCAATTTTGATACGCCAAAGAGGAGAAGGACGGCTTCTGAGAAGCTAAGAAAGGATCTGGAAGAAAGAAATACTCAAGGAGAAAGACGATTGTATATTAGTCTTCCAACTGTCCATGACAAGCATATCAACGGGGAAGTTGGTATATATTTAAACGTAAATAAGAATAAGGTAGTTTTAAGTAATCGTATATGCCAAAATGTACAACCATGCATATACACGACAAATAACTAAGTCAGCCACATTTTACTGAAGAAGTAACCTAACTAACATGTGTTGCGGCTTCTGTATGCAGGGTTTGGGTAAAAAAGAGGTTCCTGAGACTTAAATTTCTTTTCTGAATCTCTAGGCAAGTGGGATACAGCAGATGGTTGATACAAAACTCATAGAAAAAATTAGCGAGCTTGTTAATGCGGGTGTAACAACGGTCAACGAAATGAGGCGTCATTTAAACGAGTACGTGAGACGGGAGTTGTTTGGAGGAACAGAAATACCAGCTTCAAGCAACAGAAGGTATTTTCCGACGAAGAAAGACATCATGAATCATATGTATCGTGCTACTGTTAAAAACCGCTTCTCCAATTGCGACCAAGTTAATGTATCGAAACTCGTTGGTAAATGGCTCCGCGAAAGCCCCAACGACAAACTGTACTTCAGGCCATACGCAGACATTGAAGATCCGGATCTCGACTCTACAGACGACGAAGACGATGGGAGTGACACGGATAATGAAAACGATGACGAGAATATCAAAATAACAAAGAAATGCTCCCGGCAAACCATGATGTTCGTTCACCAAACGAAATGGCAAAGTCGTCTGCTAGATAGGTATGGTAACGACATTTGTATGTTGGATGCTACCTACAAGACCACAAGATATGCATTGCCATTGTTCTTTCTGGCTGTTAGAACCAATGTGGATTATCAGGTCGTCGGATCATTTGCCGTACAGGATGAGTGTACCGACACAATCAAAGAAGCTATTGGTATTATAAAGAAGTGGAACCCAACATGGAAGCCAAAATTCTTCATGACTGACTGTTGTCAAGAGGAAATCACTGCAATTGAAGACACATTTGAAGGTACACTTCAGAATTAAACAAGATGCTTCGTTCAAATAGACGTTTTGCATGATTAACTCATTACTCACTTGCAATTAAATGTTAACAACGTTTATACATGCAGACATGCACTGACCCATTACGAAAACATTAAACAAAAATTAAATGCATGGTTTTTAAATTTGAACGATGCTTTGGTTATCATTTATATTATCCTTGTTCTTGTTATAGTATTGTGTATTGTAATATGGCGAAACTAATAAATAAATAATAAATTCAATACATGTTTCATGTTTTTGTTATAAATGCATACCATTCAATGTTTTCATAATTCAATTATGTATTGCAGATTGCCACGTGTATATATGCGATTTTCACCGCGAGCAAGCATGGGAGAGATGGGCCAATAAGAAAGACAACGGTGTGTGGATGGAGAAAGAAACCTTGCTTTGCCATTTGCGGAGAGCGGCTCGTGCTGAAACCGTTCCAAAATATAATGAAGCTGTGGATGCTCTAAAGTCGCTAACTATGTGGAAAGAAAACACAAAGCTACGAAACTGGTTGAACAAAATATGGTTAAAAATGTGCAAGGTAGTGTGTTAAGTCAAAGAACTCAATATAAACAAGAATGGCTTCTTAGTACATATGTGAGAAATTCTCAAAAATGTCAAACATTGCCAACATATAACGAAATATACGCAGCTTAATTGGATTTATTTGTCTTTTTTTATGAAGTTAGATTAGCTTTAATGATGTTTGCATTTCCCTTTCAGAGATGGGCAATTGCTTTTCGGAATGAAGGTTTTAACGTCAAAGTTAATACGAACAACGGTTTGGAGAGACAAAATCAAGTTTTTAAGAGCAGCTATTTGTTGGGTCACAAATCCAAAAGCTTGAGTGCTATGCTCACAGTGTTAATTGAGCAATATCTTCCAGACAACTACAAGAGGTACATATTTAAGAAATACGATACAATTTATGTCGTTTTCTGTTCAGCAATAGATGCATTGTTGACGTCATAACGACATACCGCTGGACCGAGTGGATAACTTGTATTCTTGCCTAGTAGCGTGGCCAGCCCGACGATTTAGTCCCGCAATGCAAATATTTTCGTGCTCATTGGCTGAAACAATCAATTTCTAAAGAAATGAATAATGATAATAATTTTGAATTTGCATAGCGGGAGTAAATTGTCGGGCTGACTACACCACTGTTCTTGCCGTTACGCTACACGCGTAAAAGTTAGAAAATCAACAACTTGTTCCAGGTTGATATCAACAGGCGTGAACAAGGTTGTGCGGCCCAATATGAACAATATTGTCAACATGTTGTTACAGCATTGTTCAACTTTAACAACTTGGAACAACATGGTTGACAGCTTGTTCATTGTTGACCGCACAACATTGTTCACGCCTGTCGATATCAACTTGGAACAACCTGCGCGTTTTTAGCCGTGTATGGGGTGCTCTGTGTATCTTTAGCATAACAGATAACGGGAAAATATTCCATTCGTTTTACAATAAAAACGACTTCACTTGACTTGTCAAAACGTTTTGGGACTTTGAAGTTCCAAACTTGGCGCCATTCGTCATGGTTAACACCTAGTGAATATGCGGAATTATCTCTGAGTATTGATGTATATAGGACATGGAATTATTATCGTATCTTTCACTTCTTTCATTGTAACTTATAGATATTTGGAACTAAATGTGAGATACAGCAGTTCTTACCGAGCCTACAACCAAGATATTCCTGCATTTTTGGTCAACAGGCCAAGAGAGCTTGTGATACACTGCATGATGCGACTGGAGGCTGGCAAAAGTATCCCTAAATCGAATATCTTAATGGTTGATCCTGAAAATGGATGCTTTCAAGTGCAAAGCCAAAGTCGTAACCAAACCTACAACTTGAACTTTGGTAACCGTTCTTCAATGCCACATTGTGATTGTATGGATTGGAGAAACAACTATCTCCCCTGTAAGCACTTCCTATCCATTTTCTACCACTTCCCAAAGTGGAACTGGGAAACATTCCCGATAGAGTATAAAGATTCACCTTTGCTCCGCCTCGACAGTGATCTTGCACAACAATCGCTTTCTGAAACCCAAAAAAATGAAACAGGATCTTACCACCAAGAAAATATTAACGCTGATGACAACGACTTCCACAACTCCACAACACCGGATGACTATTGTTCTTCTGATGAAGATGCCACTGAGTCGGATGTTTTACCATTGCCAAGAAAGAAATTGTCCCCACAAAGCGAAGCCGCAAAGGTACGGAAGTACTGCATCAAATCCGATCCCTATCCTTCCTTGTCTACGATTTCACAGCCATTCGTGATTTGCATTCTACTCTACGAAAGGCCATGGAGGATTTCAGAAAGCACACAACATCCGAAGATGGAATCGATCTTGAAATAGATCCGTTAAGAACATCAACTAAAGTCAGCACAGCGAAAGCCAATCCAAGTCATAGCATGGAAACGCCAAACCGAAAGAATGACATTGAAGAAGGTTCTGTACGTCCGCTCCCAAGTAACACAAAAAGCAAACATAAATACGGCGGTAGAGTTGGTGAGGTTGCCGCGACAATGAAGAAAATGTATAAAGTGTCCACCAGCGTAAATGATTTAATCATAAAAGAAAACGACAGCGTTACAAATACCAGTCAATCAAGACACGATGAACTAGAACAAATGGACATTGATTTAGTAGCAGTTGATGGTGTTCATCAAGCAGCGCAGACACTCGATGGAGAGAACGACGAAGTAATCTTTATCAAACAAGCAGTTGGTAATGCAGCAAAAAGAAAGCCACGAAAGCTAGCGACTCAAGATATTGCCATCATAAAGAATGGGAATATGCTAACTGACAATGCAATCAACATTGCCCAGAACATATTGCACAACCAGTACCCTCTTATAAGCGGTCTAGAAGATACAGTATTAGGCCCTTGTTTTAATTTCTCCATAGCCAGAGGTGAATTTGTCCAAGTTCTGCATGATGGGGCACTACATTGGGTATGCGTTTCCAATGTTGGTTGCAAAGAAGCCGGCTCTGTCAACGTGTATGATAGTTTGAACAAAGGGAACATCGCATCGCATATCAAGAAACAAGTTGCCAGTATGCTTTTCCATAGTGGTCCAATAGTAAAATTGAATATTCAGCAAGTACAGCAACAGGACAATTCAGTTGATTGTGGAGTTTTTGCAATCGCATATGCAACATCCATTCTTCACGGCCAAAACCCAGAGGATTTGAATTATGACACACAAAAACTTCGTCAGCATCTTTTAAGCTGCATCAGCAGTGGCATAGTGAAAGCATTTCCATTGGCCAACCAACCGCATAGTAAAAGCAAGAAGAAAACCTTGAGAATGAAATTGTTTTGCTGTTGCAGAATGCCCTGGGATGCAGCTGATGAGGCAATACCAGAGAAACAAATGGCACAGTGTGACACCTGTGAAAAATGGTATCATCGTTCATGCGAAAAGATTCCTGAACTTGTTTATAGCACGAACTGCTTCTGGAAATGCACAAATTGCTCTGCAACATAAACAAATATTATTTTTTAAAGCGAGGACATAATACGGTAAGAACATAAACATGATAGTGTGGATATACTGCTCGAGATGGTTTTGAACACATGGTTGTGTACAAGCAATCTACTTATACCGATATAAAGTAGTAAAACTTAATATTCAAGTGAGTCTTTGTCTTCCTCCTTGTCATTACAGTATTTTGCCAGCAAAAGCGTTTGTATGTGAGAAATTTTGACACCATCAAGTTTTTTTGGAAGGGGGGGGGGGGAGCAAGCGATAAAATACAGCATGTTTTCTCTTTTGTATATGAAAATTCACAATAATTTTGTAACAATTTCAATATTGTATAATGGTAAAATACAATATTGGAGAAGATGGATGGCTCACTAAGTCTTGGAGATTAAGTTTTATTACTGTATATCGGTATAAGTAGATTGCTTGTAAACAACCATAAAGTACTTGTAAATATCCCTGGAAAAACTGACAACCAGCCCCAACAACCAAATTGGAATAATGGATGAAAGAATTTTCTTGCAGTAAACTCATTGCTTAGGGAGTGGTCATTATTTATAGGGAGTAGTGGGGGTGGTGGTGGTTAATGGGAAAAATAAGGATTGAAAACTTTTTTGACCCCCCTCCAGACTCAAGGCAAACTTTTTGTGCCTTTTACCCTGGTGAATACGATTCAGCCATATATGATTACAAAAATTAATATAGATTATGTGTTACTACTTTGCAATACAACATTTGTGCTACCACAATCTGATCAGTTAGATGTACTTGCATTTGAAGGTTTATGTATGTATTTTTTTATACATCCCCCCCCCCCCCTCTCTGTATTAAAACGTTTTTGACCTCCTTATTTATAAGCGTAAAACATTGTTTGCCCCCCTCTCGTTTACCACCCCCCCCCCTCCCCATAAATAATGACCACTCCCTTACTTAGTTTCTGCCCACAAACAACAAACTTTACAATGCATCTAACCTGGATTCCATGGCCGTTCGACAGTAAATAATAAATATTGAAATGTCGCGAAGGCCCTGGTTCGGTTACACTACGCTCAATTTTTGGTACGGCACGGATAAAAGTGGTACCCGTACCACTTTTTTGGTTCTTGGACTACCTTTTTTGGTTCTTGGACTACCTATTTAGGTAGTCCAAGAACCAAAAAGTGGTACGGTACCAAAAATTGAGTGTAGTGTAAACGGGGCTTGGCTAAATATGTAATCCAAGAACCAAAAAAGTGGTACGGGTACCAATTTTATCTGTGCCGTACCAAAAATTGAGCGTAGTGTAAACAGGGCTTTAGTGGTTTTAGTACAGATTCTGTACTCAAACCACTAATTTTATTTTGTGAATGGCACAGTTTAATCAAAGAATCTCCCAGTTGAACCAGAGCCTTTGTGACGTTTCAATTTATTATTCACTGTTGAAGGCCCTGGAATCCTGGGTAGAATGCGTCCTGTGTACAAAAAAGATAATCTCCAGCATAACAAGTATATACATATATGCAGTGTAATATTACTTACTATATAAACAACCTCTGGGTAATGCCTATTCTGCAATCTGATTGGTTGCCTACTAATAGGATATTATGCAATGGGCTATTCCATTTAATATGTATGTGCACCCTATCGAGGACACTGGAAATCCTCACCTGGGGTGTAAGTGGTTTCCAGCCTGGAAATCCTCAGGTATTGGTACTTTTCATAGGCCTGGGAACTATTTCCAGCCTGGAAATCGTCAGGTGTAGGCTGTTTTCACTCGGGCTGGAATTCCTCAGCATAAGCATATTTTCTGACTGGAATTCCTCAGGGTAAGCATATTATCGACCTGGAATTCCTCATCATACGCATATTATCTGGCTGGAATTCCTCAGGGTAGGCATATTATCTGACCGAAATTCCTCAGAATAAGGATATTATATTATCAGGCTGGAGTTCCTCATGGTAGGCATACTTGGACTGAAATTCCTCAGGGGTCACTAAGCATATTATCAAGCTGGAATTCCTCAGCATAGGCATACAATCGGACTGGAATTCCTCATGGGCAAGCATATCATTAGGCTGGATTCCTCTGCCTGGGCAAAAGCGCTGTGGACCATGCCCTCAATAGGGAAGGGGGGGGGGTCAGGTTTGCAGATATTAAATGGAATAGCCCATTTAATTAGTCAAGACATTTCATACTAAGTGTAATTAATATACCATGTAAATAGGTTTTTGTATTAGTATTTTAGCAATAATGCCACTGTTGTATTAGGTTACAGCTCTCACCTACAAGGTTGAAAGTTTTGGGTTCATATTTGGTAACAAGCCCTTCAACTTGGTTTTAGACTTTTAGTCTTTTGGACATTTGGCGGTGATAGATTTATTCTAATATACGGGATAGATTTATTCTAATATATGACTTGGGTTAATGGAATAACTGCTAAATAGCTAGTCTACCAACTAGCATTTCACTATTTAAGTTAAAGATGCAGTACAGTCCGTATGTACACAAAGGCTTTGTTTACATTTCGGTATCCAAAATATTTAATTTTATTTCCACAACTATTTATATTTTCATCATTCTAGAATAAAATAAACTTGAAATAAAAACCTAAATAAACTGTTTGTAAATAAAATTAAGACTTAAGAGGACTCCTTTATGCACATTTTCAGTTTACATTGACAGCATGGACGTATTAATAAATTGATGATTTGATGTAACTCCAACTAAAATAATGTACTACTTACCAGAAGCACTATGTATCAATGCATGTGTTTTGGTTTCTTTAAATTAATTTCTTTTCCTCCAAGTGGTGTTACGGTTGTCCGCCATCTTTAATTTATCTTGCAAGCATTTAGCATAAATATATGTAATTTATGCGATATGATAATTAATGCAAAGTATAAAGTAATCAAAAATGCAGGGCGGTTTGCTAGATGGAAAATAGTGCTAACCCATAATACTTAGTAGCTGCAATAGATTGGATACCTGATACCGTTGCACTTTTGAGAAAAAAAATTTATTGCCAGCATACTAGTACAAATATTTAATTCGCTGTCTGCAAGATGTTTTTAGAAAATCACAATATTTTGTTTGCTTCAAGTGATCATGACAATTTTTAGTTTAGGTTAATTCCAAAGTGAGTGTTTTTTGTTAATTTTATGAATGACTTCTTCCACACAGAAAGTATGAAGGAATTCTGTAATCTTACGAAATTCGAGTGGTTGGTTTTTACACAGACTGCCTCCTAAAGGGTTAACAGGGTCATGGGCAGATTAACCCATTGAGTGGCAGAACTCTCGGCCTGACAAGTAAATATGTGTGGCATTAGAAAGCTACAGTAAAATAATATGGCATTAGAAAGAGTAACATAATAAACTGGGTGCATCTGGGCACATTGCCACTTAAAGGCTTAACTGGCTTAACTGAAAGACATTTTTTAAATAAAATAAATACCTTCTTGAGTGACAGTCTGATATTCACGTCCACCACTTCATCTATCAGAACTTAGCATTTCATACACTGTCTAATTTGGTACGATTTTACTCATCAAGTGCAGGGCCCTGTATATAATGCATATAACATAAGTATATCTGCTGATAATTTCTATTGTATGAAACAGGCTGGTGTGATGATTTCTATTGTATGAAACAGGCTGGTGTGCCTCTCACTTTCATCTCGTGCTTTTATTCACCTTTTGAAGACAATGATTTATCTGTTTCATCTTCGAGTTGTCCTGGTTCTTTCACCATTAAATGTGTTAATGATTGACCAAGTCAGAAAACTAAAAGCCAGTGTGAATGTTTCAATTATGCATTTGCAAACACAACCATAATTTGATTAACTCATAAAATTTATCGTTTATTCAGAGTTTTAGTATATACTATAGTAATAAGACATTACAATATAAATAAAAACTCTACATGTTTATTGTAGGAGCAGTTTCAGGTCTTGCTATGGAAAGATTGGTATGTGGGGAAGCTCGTTTCCAGGTGTACCAATCTTGGCCATGACAGCAACAATACAGACGAAGAAGGAAATTGCATCATGCCTTGGAATGTACAATCCTGTGATCATTGAATCAAATCCTGACCAACCAAACATCTTTTTTTTAAATCCAAGCAACAGAGTGGTAAAGGCAAAGATAAATTGCTAGCCATTTTAGAACCTTTGATCATTGAACTGAAAGCGAAGAGGCTGGACTTTCCTTTAACATTAATATACGGCAGCTTAACTGCTATCTGTGACATCTATGCTTCAGCTTCTGTTTGTAACTGTGGCGTTCGGTATTGGGATTAATGCTCAAAACATTAGGCGTGGAGTGCCACATACAAGGGTGTCAATCTATCCCAAAAAGTGCGGGGATGGACTCCAAACTAGGAAGGTCTGGAGGTATGCTACCCGAATTTTTTTTCTAAATTGTGGTACACTGAAATGGCATTCCCAGCTTTTTGGAGGCACTTATATTCAGTCCCCAAAACACAAAATACTTGTGTAAAAATACTAAAACAATTATTTGCCTCAGGCTCAGTAATTATCGGGAATATTCACCTCAACTTCGTCTAGCCATTTAGCAATGCAGAGTTGTAAGAATTATAGCTTTAAGTAAACTGGGGGGAAATCATTTAAATTGCAATTTTTGTAAAAATAAAATACCGTGACACATATATGTTCCAGCTATTTCGAAATTGAAAAATATAAGTGCTAGTGGAAGGACCTCGGTGGTCTCGCTCAAAAAAAGCAATCAAGCATGGCCGCTTTTTACAATGAGAATATCGATTATCGGTATCCCAATATCAAAAGAATAATTGTGGACCGAACAATCAAAATGTATACCAATGGGCAACGGCTAGGACTACCAATGTTATGACTACATATATAGATAGTTTAATGTACTTCAAAGCTCTTCGTGTTGTCCAGGTTCTTAACATGAGACCCATCTAGGGATTTTCGGTGTCTGAATTTTCGGGGTCTGAGTTTTTCGGGTCTGAGGTCTGATATTTCTTGGTCTGTCTTTTCCAAACAC